AGAGATGAATGAACTCTTCGAAGAAACTAGCGAACCAGGCCAGGTCCACAAATAAGCTTTGGGACTCTAGAGCATGAAAGTTCTGCTGAATCTCGGTGCCCTCTTGTTGAAGAGCCAAGCTAAAATGTTGAACAGAGAACCCTAAACCCTAACCCTAAGTGACGCTCCAATGAAGCTCATCACATTCATGCATCACCCGAACGAGAAAAGAAACGAAATCAAGCATGACTTCCAAGTCCGACGTGTGACGCACTTACCCTGAAGCCTACCACATCAAGAACCACCCGAAAGACCCAGTTCGACCTTCTCACTTAAGCCGCACTCCTCAAGCTACTTTCCTGATCCCTGACTTGCACGACAGCAGCGAAAACTCAATCTTGCCGCTGCCTGCAAGGCTCAACATGCTGAATCACTTAGACTTGCGGTCCCGCACACTGAGCTGGGCTTATGTGGTTCATCCGGATCCCCTTCTGAAAGTCGCCACACGGCTGTACATCTGTGTCTCCGGCATGCTCGTACATCCAGGACAGGAGGAGCAGCAGCCATTCAGCAACAACCTGCACGACTCGGAGTTAGAGAGCTGAGAGATCAGGGGTTCTTTGGAACTTCCGGGGGTACATGGCAGCTTTGGGTGGGTTGGCCCGTGGAGACTCGCGGGTAAATGGATCCTGCCTTCCAGTCGCAAGGCGGCTCATGTCGCCAATGAAATTCTGATCCAGCCCTTCTCTTGCTGCCCCTGCCTTCGTGGCTTTGAAGAACCTCACTCTTGGTTCGCACTTACCAGCCGGCCAACATTGAAGCCAAGACATGAACCCGCGAGTACTTGCAGGCATGCTGGGGGCGAGGCACGAGCCCACTGCAGATGCAGTCGTCTGCAAAGGAGCCACTGACGAGTAGCTCGGCGCCCCTGAAGCATGCAGACCGCCGCCACCCTGACCCTGAACAGCCTAAACCCTGAACCCAACAACCCTAAACCCCTGCAAAGCCTCAACCGAGTGCTTTCAAGTCAGGGACGGGAAATTCGGGCTACTTGGGCTTGAGCGGGTCAGACCACGTTTAGGGCATAAGGGTTTAGGGATTTGAGGGTTTGCAGCGGGCGGCTTGTCAAACCTGATGAGCAGCTACACGGTCCCAGTGCCTTAAGTTAAGTCTGGAAAACGGCAGTTCACGGCCGGAGCCCATGTTATACTACATTATGTTACATACTAAACTGTATTGCATGATATTGTGGTACATTACACTATACCATAGAAGATGACATGATTTCACATGTATGGTATTGTAAGATACTGTACAAGGGTTTTATTGCATTTTCTGCTACTACATTATACTATAGTTTATAGTACACTATACAATGCTGTACTGTATTGTATTATACTACAATATCTTATACTATAATAAAAAAAAAAAAAAATGCATTATACTATGCTGCTTCTAGGCTTGAAGCTTGGGGCTGATGGCTCGAGCTGCACGAGTAAGGCGGGAGAGGCGGTTCACGAGACCTTCTGCATGAACCAAACAGAAACACCCCCTGATCCTAAGGTTTAGGGTTTAGGGTTTTGGGGTTTAGGGTTTAGGGTTGCTACGGGATAACATTATCATCTATTTCATATTACAGTCTATGTTTTATGTACGATCTACTCAATGCATTATATTGCACCAGTGCTACAGGCTTAAACCTGCGAGGAATTTCCTAGAGCAAGACGACTGTTGCAGTTGCGCCGCAAACGTTAAGCTCAGAAGTCTATCCCAGACAGAGGGGAAAGAGGGGACCCCAAAATTGAAGGTCCTCAGGCTCGCATCACAAAGTTAAAGACGCTTGGATGCTACCAAAACCGGATTTGCGGAAGAGATGAGACTTGGCAACTTGATGAAACTTCAACTTCCAACACGTGGATCACCTGCTTCCTGGCTGTCATCTCTTCCTTCGACCAGACCCAACAGAGTGGGCGGCAAAGGGCAGTAACAACGTGTCCACTTGATACAGAGTGTAGAGGTTGCAGGCGTCCTGCCCCGGCTGCATTGCTTGAGTAAGACATTATTGAGCTTCTGCCCTATGAATGTAGCCATGCATAGTTCATGCATCCATGCATAAATGATCGCAGACGTGGACTACGCCTCCTTGTGCCAGAGATAGATGGGTTGACTGAATGATTGATTGATCGAGATAAAAATGGGATAGAGATCGAGACAAACATAGAGGCGAATCTGTAAAGGTCTACGGCTTTAGGCATTGACTGGTATGGACAAGGAGGACTGCGCTTAACACCAACATCTTCATAGAAACACATGATCGCACGTTGTTGACCCACATACACTGTGCCGGTACATATTAGCTAGGTATCTGCATCGTCTATGCAGCTTTTTTGTAGCCCTGATTCGTAGGGACTTGGTATGGTATCATACCCTACTCCTGTGGCTGTTGGTTACTTCTTTCATGGCATAACTAACCCCCCTCTGCCACAGGAGGCTCTGCGCCCATCTCCTGAACCGGTGCAGGACGTCCCTTTGCCTGGTGTTGAAATTTCCTGTGAAGGCCACAGCTTTCGAGCAGCAACTTCAAGAGTTTTATTGAAGCGAGGCTGCTCGAAGCAACGGCTTCAAGAGTTTTCTTGAAGCCGGGCGCTCGGTCTTTTGGCCAAGCAGCCTTAAGAATCAACGAGAAAGTAAGGAAAGCACCCGGCGCCGATACTCTGTGTCATCAACGCTTGGGTAACTCAAGCAAACGACAGATGTACGAAAATGGTCGCTGCCAAAAAGGGCAGCTGTCAGTTCACCAATCTCTTTGAAAGCCCGTTTGTCAGCTTGCACATTCCCTCGTGGAAATCCCACGGTACAACTTCTCCTGCATGTCTTGTACGATTATGATACTACAATAAAGTATAAAACTACTATAAATTTCAATACTATTCTTATACTATTATAATACTACTATCTCTGGAGGACGATTCTGTGGTAGCCGATGCCACTCTGGACTTGGGAGCGAGGCAAAGTCGATGAGGGACTTGGGACCGAGGCACGGGCCGCGGAACTCAAGACAAACTAACACCTGGGTTTGGGGTTTAGGGTTTGGGCTAAGGGTTTAGAAGCGAAGCCCGGTGAGAGTTGCGTAAGGCTTTCGCAGTCCTATGGTAGATCGGAGACAAATCGCCAAGGGTTCAAAGGTTATTCGAATGTCCAAGCAGACGGCGGTTCCAGACAAAGCTTGGCAAGAAATACTCTGTCTGTACGAGCTCGGGGAAGGTCTGTTGGACGCGAGTCCCAAAGCTCAAAGCTCCTAAAAATTGGCAGGGCCCCTTCTGACAGATCTTTCCATTCTCGGCAGGCTAGTTCCCAGCATCATCGAAGTCGTCGAACTCCCAGACCCCCCGACACCCTAAATCCTAGGGAGGGGCAGGATACCTTTTGGGATTACATGGTGGAGATCCTTTGAAAGGAACCCGGAATCCTAAGCATGACCGTCTTCTTCTTCGAAGATGATGTAGGATGCAGGTTTCTGGTAGTAGTACCAGTCGCCCGAGGAGGAAACCCAAGCATGAACTCACTAAGTTCGCCGTAGAGCAGTATAAACACTCACCAACACTCTCGGCATAAGCGCTACGTTGAACAAGTACCAATATTACTCCCACGGCTCCGTATTGAACTGCAATACACCTAAACCCTAAACGGCCCTAAACCGTAAACCCTGAACCCTAAACCCTAAACCCCGAGCTACTTGACATCGTCTGTCACTAAAGGGGCCCCTGTGCAGCGCGCGTGGGCTTCACAGCGAGGGCACCTTGTTGAGGTGGGATCTTGGCGCTGTCAAAGCCCGGGCTCATGGCCTGACATTCAGAATCATCCTTAGTTACCTATTCCGGTTTAGTGTTTAGGGTTTAGGGTTCAAGGTTCAGGGTTAAGGGTTTAGGGTTTAGGATTTAGGTCCAGGTTTTGCATCATGAGTATATTCACTATACTATTGTAGTCTTATATACTTATATCATAATTCATTACCACTCTAAATGAACTCATAGGGGCAGGTCTGGATTAGGGCTTGGCCTTGGACTTTAGAAGCTTTAAGGTTATGGGTTTAGGGTTTAGGGTTTAGGGTTTAGGGTTTAGGGCACTTGGTGATGAATGGCTTTGGGACTGAGGGGGCCCAGCATCCAGGTTGAGGGGTTATGGGACGTTGTGATATGTCCCACGTGTCGACACCGACATGGAGACAGCAATACCGGGTTGACTGAATCCAATCCGGCAACCCCAGACTCTGAACTTAAACCCTGAGCAACGTTGTGTTGAGAGAAACAGAGACTGCCGAACAGCCATCATGAGATTGCAAGACCACTGTCAGCCAGAGGTTAGCTATTGTGAAGCTCGGCCGATGGCACGAAACTGCAGGCATCAAGCCTCCGCCCGAAGGCAGACTGACTCAGGATCATACTTCGATACATGAAGAGAAGCTGCCCGCAAAGACAAAGGCTGGAAGGGACGAGAGACTGGAATACAGCGGCGGGACCCCAAGACTTGCGTGTACCAGCATGGAAGTCTCAATGTCACCGATGTTACCATCTCCTTTCCGGTACATCTCGATAATGGCGCATGGAGCAGACTGCCCGGCCTACATCACCCGTCATGCAGCAGCACAAACGAACCGCGTCAGTGCTTGCAGTGTCTGTGGCTCGTCCAGCCTAGGCTCACACGCACTTCATACATATCCATCGTGGGATGGGGTTAGCTGAACCCCAATCTTTGAGCTTGACCATCTCCAAGCTCATAATAACAATGTAAAAAGCTTCCGTTTCCAGGCATCAGAAACGGACATACGCCGAGCGAAGCCACAGGAGACTTTTCCTTGGCCGCTGTCCAGCGAGCATGACAGCAACAAAAACAAAAACCGACTCAAAAAACATAGTTGTGAGGATATTCTATACGCGTCGTTCGCGAAGGGGCAACAGACTAGCGTGTCCCACAATCAGTCAGTACACGAGCCCTAGATTGACCAGCGGTACAGCCCCAGCTCAAGGATTCTTTGTCAGCATGCATACATGCTGCCAAGCCTCAGACACACTGTCGGCAAAAATGCCGAATTCTTCACGAAGCCACAGAAGTGTTGGCCGGTCCTCAGGCACTTGGCATTGTCATTATCGGAACACAGAGACAGGTAGAAAAGGAACACAAGAACACACAAACAAAGTCACAAACACACCAGCAACGCATGGCTTCCGGACCTCGAAGTTGACGCGGCCGAGGCCTTGGATGCCAGAATCTCAACTCTTGGACGCACCGATGCCAGGAAAACCAAAGTGCATGCCCAATGAAGAAAATTTATGGCTGGCTGCTCTTACTCCTGCCATCTGCTACTGCTGCTACCACAACTACTACCTACTACGACTACGACTACGACAACGACTACACTATTACTACTGCTGCTACCCAGCATCGGCAAGATTGTCATGACATGGATGCACAGCCGGGGCACTGCACGTGGGCATATCCTAACGCCTGCTAGGCGTGGAGTTCGATACAAGAACAAGGTAAAGCCAAACCATGATCGCAGCTGCCTCGATCAACTTTGCCGCCTTCCAAAGTCCTGACGGCGGACTGTGGATTGACATCAGTGAGGCCACTCACTCAGCAGACATGTTGATTACAGAGTAGTTGCTGAGCGCAAACAAACGAACGCCGTCTTGGGATTCGTGAGGTCTGTCGCAAAGACGGGCCTGAAGTTGTCCATGTTCCATGCCGACACCGGCGCACAGAGCAGGCGGAAGAGGACCGCCAGGACCAAGGAAGAATCTGGGCGAGCAGAACCCTAAGAGAGGCCCAGGCCCCGGGCCCCCCGAGACCCTGCTCTCTTGAGCTGGGGAAACTGGAAACTGCACGGCACCTAAATTTCCTGCATAGACAACAAAATCTGCCCGAAATCTGACATGTCAGCCAGGTGTCTGCACACGCCATCGAAAAGAAGGGACTGCAGTTGGCTCAAGGCCTCTGTATTCAAGACCTCGGAACAGGCTCACCAGACCGGACCCATGAAGCGCAGGCCTCTGAACCACAGCGTGCCGAGGCCCTAGCTGGACACGCTCGGGTGAAGTTCCTGGGCCAGATCCGTTTTTTGCCAGTGCCGGGGCTTCGGTTTAGGGCTTCAAAACTTTTGATAGGGGATACCGCCACGGTCAAACCCGGCATTCATGAGAATTTCAGAACCCGTGGCAAACCCTTCGGCTAAGAAAACCTATGGCCTATGGTTGAGAAGTCCTGAATTCCAAGTGTCGGCGGGTCTACACTACCATCTGCTGCTGCTGCTGCTGCTGCCTACTACTACTACCACCAGCACCACCACTACCACTGCTGTTACCTGCTGCTACTGCTGCTTCTACTACTACTACTACTACTACTACTACTACTACTACTACTACTACTACTACTACTACTACTACTAAGTTACTACTACTACTACTACTACTACTACCACTACTACTACTACTACGACTACGACTACGACTACGACTACGACTACGACGACGACTACTACTAGTCCTACTCCACTCCACCACCGCCACCACCACCACCACCACCACCACCACCACGACCACGACCACCGCCACTGCCACTGCCACTACCACTACCTACTGATGCTGCTGCTTCTGCTGCTGCTGCTGCCAGACAGGCTTCTTTTACTACAACTATCAGTACTAGTCCTAAGAAGATGCATATTGCCACGACAATAGGGACGGCAAGAACTAGTTTCATTTACGAGAACGACTAACGACCACAACAACAACAACAACAGCAGGAGCCAAAATTCCTAGAAGACTCAACCCAATGTTATGTGGAATATGGGGGCCTTCATTATTTGGAGGGGGTTTTGGGTTGTGGTATAGTCTACTCACAAGAAGGAACCCAGGGAATGGTATTCGTAATGCTGGCATAACGACTGATCCAAGCTGCTTCTCTTCAATCCATCGCTCGGAGCTTGACCGGAAGAGTGGCACTTCAGATTCCTTCCGGTTGCGACCGGTTGATGATATAAATCCTGCATTACCCATAACAAGGAATATACCATAATTTCCATAGATTAGGGTCCTTAAGGTAATGCAGGCTTTAAATCATCAATCCGACTCAGGGCTTCGGGCTTAAGGCTGCGGAAACTAGAGCTAATGCTCAACTGAATGCTTGAAAGCATGTCACTTCTGTTTAGGTTTAACGATTTTCGGGCTTGCCATGGGAGCCTTCATAGAATGACTCATGTCTTTGGAGATATGGGAGTTTCTGAATATAGGGGACCCTAATATAGTACCCTAGACAGTAAGATCCTCATTATAAGGACCCCAAAGTAAGGTACCCCTAATTTTCGGAAACTCCCAAACGGTACAAGACACAGACTTCGAGCAACAGGACTGATCCTGGAGCCCCAGCAAAGAACATCTTGGAGGTACCGAGTGGCCGTGAAATACAGGAATGCGACATGCTGCGGCGAGCTGCTAATACTACTTCCAAAACCCCACTATTTCCACTACTGTGCTTTTAACATAAATCTCAATGTGAATAATATTCAAAATGAATATTAATATCCAGAATATGCACACTAATGTCAGTATTCATGCTAATATGAACACTAATGTCAGTATTCCTGCTAATATTATGACAAGAGTTGAGACATCCATATTATCATCGTGGCTAACGTTTAAACTAATGTGAGAACGAAATGTCATAACAGTACTAGCATTCACAGCAACATGAATGTTCAAGTTGTTGTTGTCGTATTCAATAGCCAACGGCTTCTGTGCAACATGCTCCACTCAAGAAGCTGCCCTCAAAAAATCGTCGATATCTGCCAAGTTTCGTCGAGGCCAGGTAGCTTCAACAGGCAGTACACCACACGCTCCTGCTTCAGCTTTCTACACCACGTGCATGCACTACTGCACAGCGGCATGCATGCAAGCATTCTCCACACGAACGGAATCAGCCCTGTTTTCTGTGCTCTCCGGCAATACTGCACCGGGTGTTCACTATCGTTGAAACCAACAACTGAACTCAACCCGAACGAGCATGCGCCGACCTTGTGGCTACTTTTACCCAGCATGCTTGGACCGGAGAAAGCTGGGAGCCTCGAGCCTGGCTGACTGCAGCGATACCTGCCACTTGAAGCCTGCATCAAGATTCCCTCACATCGTTCGAACCTCGCTCGCCTGCGATCGGAGAGATGGTGTTCCGGGGCCCTGACTTTCGTGTTCCTGAGCATGGATCCTTGAACCACAGGAATTACGATGGTGCACAGCCCTTTTGCGACCGCCTTCTCCAATGAATGACCGTGGTCTCTGGCTTCTGCGTGCGTGTACTGCCCACACAGAACGCTAACAGTCGCTTGGGTTGAAGTCAAGAGGTTGGGCTTCGGCGAGTCGTCTACCGTCAAGGTGTACCACGTCGTGGTGTGATCTTGGAAACTCTGTCGAATTGCATTAAGTGGCCGAGGAAGATAACGCGACATGGTCGTGAGCGAAAGTAGAATACTAGACCTGTTCTACGGAGTAGGGTTTTCACTATGTTCGATCGTGTGAAGGCATTTTTCAGGTGCCCAAAGGCTCCATACCCGAACGGGACTACCATACCTTGACCTGTGAACCCGAATCCCCGAATTCCCGAACCCAAGCTCCTCCACCACCTCTGTCAGCTCATGGCTTGCCACAAAGTTCCTGGGACTGCAACGAACAAAATCACCCAAGGTTTCAGCATCCGCAAGCACGCGCGTGATTACTGCGGCAACTCGGCAGGGGAGGGCGAGCAAAGATCTTGTATGTGTGTATGTACAGATGTGAATACATATGTATGTGTGTATGTGCCTGCATATACCCAATCAATGCACATGTGAAGATATGTATATATATATATATATATTTATATATATATATATATAGATATGTAGATATGTAGATGTGTAGATATGTGTTTGTAAACACCTACACACATGTATACATATGCACATATGCACATGTATACCTGTATACATATAAAATACATACATATACAATTACAAGCATGCATTCACATATACGTGTATATATGTATACATGTATACATATAGCCATATGTACAGATAAATGCGAAGTCTAGACACCTATGGAACTTGAAGCGATGCATGTTCGACCCGTCTGGAAAAACGATGCCCTGCCCCAGTGTCCGAAGCCTCCCAAGGCTGCAAGCGACCCCAACTCAACCGAATCTTCGTCAATCCTCCAAACAAAGCACCCACGCCCAGAATCGAAAATGTCCCTGCCGAGCAGCACAGCTAAGTCGCCCATCTTCGTTTTGATGGTGAGGGAAACACCATACCTTGCTCCAGCCAGGTTCTGCTCGAAAATCATCAAATTTCCGGGTAGAATGTAGTGCTTGCTGTTGCCACTAGTTGTGGCGGAGGTCCGTCTCAGGTTGAATCTTTAATTTTAGGCTTTACATCGGCGGTCGAATTGAAAAATAGAGCTCACAAAATGCCACTGTCCTGTATTCTCACGGTACACTATTCTCCTGCGCTACTACTCCTGACTTTGTGCTTATTTGCGTTGTTATACTGCACGTCCAGTATTACATACTTTGACTATGGCTATGGTGGAGATCATGATTGCGAGGATGCCAGTTATAGTAGTAGTGCCACTGATAGTGCTCGTGTTCGTGAAACTGATAATGCTAGTGTCAGTGCTCGTGTGAGTCTGATGCTTGCGCTTGTGATTGTGGTTGTGACTGTGATTGTGGTTGCGATGATGGTGATGATGATGATGATGGTTATGATGATGAAAATGCTGGTGATGATAATGATGGCGATAAAAGTGAATCTGGTGATGATGATTACTATTAATTTTGATTAGTGTTCTCGAGACTATGACCATGGACTTGAGTCTACAGTTTGCTGTGTGTTTGCAGTATTGATACTGCCGGTATGATTACGAGAACTGTCCTCGTCGTTCTCGCCACTAGCCTGGTTATCATTGATATTGTTGTTCCAATCCCAACTGAAAGCGTGCCGTCTTTGGTTGCTATTGCTTATCTAAGGGCGCGGTCTTGTGGATGCACAGACTGGTGGTGTGTCGAAAGGTTTGCGTAAGCTGCGTTGGCTAGACATAGCCTGCTCTGATGCTCCGTTTCTATCAACACGGTCAAGGTTGAGGAATTAGACTCCCGTCGGTCGTGTTCCAAGCTTTCGTGGCATCGTTCTGGAGATGGGGCTGAAGCTTGTAGATTGCATTGGAACACTGCTGGAGGGGTGCAGTGATTTTTCTGCGGAGGAGCTGCTCCTTCCGCATGGCAGGGTAGGTGATAGCATAAGCATGTAGCTCTGGGGATGCAGGTCGCACTAGATGCGGCGTTCGTGCCGGTAACAAAACTTTTCTCAGCGTTGCCTTGATGCACTTCCTCCGTGCTTGGTTGAAAAATTTCAGCCGGGCTTGGTGAGCTCCGAAGGTCACCGCCTATCCCCAAGACGACTGAGCCCAGCGCTTCTGGCAAATCCAGTGGTGCTCCGACTTACACCGGCGTCCGCCGTGCTTCCTCCCACGGGTGATGGCGAAGGCATCCTGGGTTGCTATGAGCAGAAGGTAGCACATGTTCCAGAGTCTAGGAGCGACAACAAAACGATTGGCCAAGCCGACGATGATGATGATGACGACGATGATGATCTGCAGGTGGAGGAGGATAAGGAGGAGGAGGAGGAGGAGGAGAAGCATAATGACAACAAGGACAAGTAGGGCGCGGAGGAGCATGACGACAAAACCCGACGACAGACCAGGCTGCTGCACACATGCAACCAGACCGATGCAAACCCTGAAAAACAATTACACAAAACCTGTTCCAGCAACCCTGTCCCGGACCCAAGAACAGATGTTGGCCTTACATCTCCGCGACACAGGTCTAGCCTTTGCACATCACTCGACAAGTGACATAGTAGCGGCAGTCGGTCCACGTCATATTCTGTGGCAACTTCATAATGAGCTCTTTCATCGCGGCGTGTTCAATAGCTGTGCAGGAAAACCTGCAGACAAGGTGACAAGGTCATATTGCTAGCACTTTCAATCCTGGTTTATTCTGCAGACCCAGCTCAGCAGTGACTGACATGAAGGCCTCGTCTGCTTGAGGTTGGCGAACGCAAGCATGCGCGCCAACTCACCTGGTTGCAACAGGCAAATCAGTGTGTCTATGTGTACATATTTTTATAATATATATATATATACACACATACATATACACACATGCATGTGGGCATGTATGTATGCATGCATGCATGGAAGCATGCATGCATGCTTGTGTTTTTGTGCAGGTGATTATGTGTCTATCAGAACGCATGTATGCATGCTTGTATGCATGCACGCATGTACGTCCGTCTGTCCGTCTGTCCGTCAATCCATCTGTCCGTCAATCCATCTGTCCGTCCGTCTGTCTGTCTGTCCGTCTGTCCCTCTGCCTGTCTGTCTGTCTCTGTATGTACGCATACATGTATGTATGTATGTTCTTATGTGAGAATATCTTGCTTACTTACTTGCGCACTTGCGTACTGACGTTCATACGTACGTACAAACATACGTACACACAAACATACTGCATGCGTGCATGCATACAAACATGCACACGGATACACATACATGTACATCAGACGCATGCGTATATACATGCACATGAACAGGTGCGTGTACATACACATACACATCCGTATGCACATGCACGTAGACATACCTACTAACTTGCAAAGGTAAGTACCACTATAAGTTATGACCACGTCTACAAGTCGCCAATGCTCTGGCCAAACCTCTGACAGCTACCTCAAGTCAACGAGGAAAGCCGCATCAAGACAACAGTCCATCAAAATCTGCATCTCCGGTGAATTCGCAGATCTGGCCTGATTCATACGTATCCGGCTCGAGCGTGCGCATGTCGCGGTTTTATCCAAGGTTGAGAGTCGGAAGGATGGGGCAAAAAGATGGGTTTAGATCAAATGCAAGCTTTCAGTCTGGCTCTCGAAAAGGCGGAGGTGCTCGGCCACACCTTTTTCGAGACCATCCGCCGCACCACCCTCGAAGCGAAATCCTGACTAATAGCGGGCCGAAACTCAACACCTTTAACCCCAAACCATGCAAGGCATACTTTTTGCGTATCCCCGGATCCCCGAAGCTGAGCATCGGACTGTTCAGCTGTGCAAAGCGGCGTGAGATGCCAGTGGGGCCGGTATCCCCTTGTCTCATCTGCAGCTGCACATTGTGCATCACCTGCTCGTCCGAAACTCCGGGTCTGCTTGGCTCAGAAGAACGGCCACGGTTTAGGGTTTCGGGTTTAAAGTTTCGGGTTTAGGGTTTAAGGTTTCGGGTTTAGGGTTTAGGGCTTCTGGTTTAGGGTTTAGGGTTTTTTTTTTCGGGTTTAGGTTTTCGGGTTTAGGGCTTAGGGTTGACATAACATGACTACTGCTCGCGCTGGACAGATTCAGGCAAGTCACTGGAATCTGATCCATTCGTGCCCACTGCAAAAGGTTGACTGCAAGCCAACTCGTCAAAAAGCCCGGGTCGGAGTCGATTCCTGAGATGTCTTGCTGTTGGGGGGGGCCGGTTGGCAGCTATGACACCCACAACACCGGCACCAAAGATACGAGAACCATCAAAATATTCACAGATATCGTCGCAATCACGGCAACCATCATACCAGTCGTAGTTCTCATCCTAGTCATACTAGTTACCCCCGGCATACTAAACATACTCATCAAACTGCTCGCACTCCATACTAGCATGGTTCTCGCGCTACTCATGCTTCTGACAGTGATTGTGTGTCACAAGAATACGAGTCTTAATCGCTTTAACAAGCATAACAGCGACGATGGCAGCAACATTTCGTCTACGAGTGATAGTGGCTGTGGTTGACTACTCCAGAGGTTGAAGTCGTTGGAGATTGACTGTACCAAGCCGAGCCAACACCCGGTGAAGGCTCCAGTGTGGCGGTAGTGCTTGGGGCCTAGAGTTTCCATCACATATACACACCAGAAACCTCGTCACCCTGATTGAAACCCCGAAGCCAAAATCTACAAAAGCCTGCGGTGACTGATGCTTTAGGCCATCAACGCTGGAAACGATCGCTCTCCCCCTTGAAGCTTAGACATAGCAGGCATGCGCACAGGCGCTCAACCCAAGCCCAACACCATTTCTCAAACCTAAACCCTAAACCCTACACCCTAAACCCCTGAACCATAACCTCTGAACCCTAAACCCTAAACCCTGTCTTGCCGAACCACGGCCGAGGTAGGAGCCAAGTTTAGAGTGATGAAGTAGGAGCTTGCCTCCGGTTTTGAGGGTCTTAGTAGGGAATGGCGGAATGGATCCCCATAGTAGTCCCTGTTCAGGGGTTTAGGGTTTTGGGGGTTCTTGTTTTGGGCTTAGGGTTTAGGGCTTTAGGGTTTAGGGCGCTAGGGTTTGGTGAGTTTCGGGTTTTAGGGTTTCAATGATTCAAGGGGCCTGGATGACCAATATAGCCTGAAAACATCTATTCCGCCATTCCCTACTAAGAACCAGACAGTTGCGGGTCTAGGATCCTGCGACTACAACTTGGGACTTGAGGTCTAGGATGCCCTGACCGATCTCAAGCCGTAAGCCAAACCCTAAACCTCAAGGAACACCTGCTATGTGCGTGCACGCCAAACGAAGATGCATGAACAGGTGTCATGCAGCAGAACAAGGTAGTGCAGCTTAAACTTAAACCCTAATCGTCCCAGGTCCCTGAATCCCAAACATCCCCAAAACATCCCGAATCCCTAAACGCCAGACATGTTTGAAATTTTTAACAAACCCTATAAAACCCCAAACCAGTAACCACCCCTAAACCGTACACCCCAGGCCCTAAACTCTAAACCCCACAACCCAAACCCTAACTTTGAGGCCTGCTAACCCCGAAGCTTCTCATAGAGACTGAGCTCGTCCCCGGAGCTTAAGCCCGGGAGTGCAAAGGCTCAGGGATAGGGTTTAGGGGTTCAGGGCGATAGGGGTTTAGGGTTTTGGGGTTTTGGGTTTTGGGGTTTAGGCGGTTTAGGGTCTTGGGGTTTAGGGGTTCAGGGCTTCAAGGGTTTTAGAGGTTTATGTCGCAGTTTAAAGCTTGCCGGGCATGAGGGTCGTGAGGTTTGGGAGTAGGGTTTAGGGCTTCGATCTTGAAACGCAAAGGAATGTAGCACAAAACTCAAGCTTTGGAGCTCCTCTGCACCCCGTCAGTGCTAAGCACCAAGTCCCTAACCTCAACATCCAGAAGTCCTTGAGGGGGTGTGCCGGGATTAGATGGGCCCACCAATACCAACGTTCTTCCGCCCCCTACTACACAATACGAGCCTTCCTCATAAAAGGCTGGCCACACTTCATGTCTGATATTGTCTGATCCTAGTGTTCCAAGGATTGCAGCCGGGATACCTCCGAGAGAAGCTGGACCTCCACAAACCTCGGAGAGAACAGAGCTTCTGCCAGGCCGTGTACGGAGTTTTGGGATCTTTAAAAATTGTCAGACGTTTGTGCTGCACGTGCTGTGAAGGGTTCGTGAGGTTTGGGAAGGAAAGCCAAGTGCCTTCTGCGAGACGCCTGTCGGATTTATGTCGCTGAACGTTCTTTCCCTTCATAATAATGCTCGGGTCAAGCATCTGCTGGACGTCTGGTCATGTTTTGTTGGACGGATAGACCCCAAACCCCCAAACCCTACAGCCCTCGCTGCCAAAACTGCAGATTCACAGAACCGTCTTGATCTCCACCGGTCGTCGAAACCTCCCTCCCCCTTTGCACATCACGATTTGCATTCTCAGTGACACTTCTGATTTTGTCAAAGGATAGTGACTCTTAACCCTAAACCTCCATGCCCTAGGGATGCCTAGGAGAAAAAACCCTCGAGTTTCAAACTTTGAAGCCCTTAGCCTCCAAAGCACAAAGCCTCTGACGTCTAAACTGCGCCGACCCCTTCTTTGCACGGAGCTGCCTGCACCGCCTGCAACACAACAGGCAATCTACTGCCGCCGTAACTGCGATCGTCATGATCAGAACTAGCAGCAGCAGCAGCAGCAGCAGCAGCACTACCAACACCAGCACCAACAGGACCGCCGCCACTGCCGTCGCCACTGCGCAGCCACCACCACGTCTGCTAGAAGCTACATCATCATCATCATCGTCATCATCATCATCATAACCATCATCATCATGTTTTCGCTATCTTATGTTTGTCATTAATTAAAACCTTCAACATCATCACCATCAAGGCGGAACCGCCAGGGGCTTCATCACAACATCTACGACCACGTTCTTGGCAACATTTGGCAACCATCCTTGTTATCCGCAGCAGTGGCAGTTTCAGCATTGCTGCTATTACCAAGCGACGGTGATCCTGACAATGCTATATGCTGATGGTAAAGCTCAAACGAGTGTCAAGTACAGCTTTGAGCAGGGTTCGTAGCGTTGCAGCAGCAACAGCAGCAGCAACAGCAGCAAGAAGGTCATCCCACCGATGATAGTAGTGGACATGAATCCAGCACGCCCCTTTGAAGATGCCAAGAGCCTGGCTAGTTGGTTGAGTGAGCGGTGACAGCATCGGACGGCAAAGATGTTCTTCAGGCTCAGGGAGCAAAGGGCCTTGGTTGCACACGGGAAGACCAACTTCTCTCCAGGATGAGGTGCAATACCACGTCTATGAAAGAATGCCATGGTCCTAGCACAGCTGAAACTGGCTCCTCCGCTACTGCTACTCTACGTAAAAGTCTCAGTCCACGACATGGGCAAGATGGGACTCGCCGAGCAGAAGCAGGCTCAGCTTAGCTTCCATGGGCGGTCGGCGGAATTCTTGGCCCCAAGGACTGTACAGCCCCCAACTAATGGCCTGAAAGCAAAATGCTGGCGGATGCTGACGGTTCGAAGGGCGAGAGGTTTGGCAAGTTCCAACCAGCAAGAGCTGAAGAGACTGTCCCCGGCATTGTTGATACAGGAGAACCGGCACCAACTGGAAAAAGCCGTGACCATTTCCAAAAAGTTGTTACACCCTGCTCCTTACTCGTACAAGCCAAAACCACGGCATCAGGTGCATCCGCCTCCGTTGCGAATCACCCAACACAGCCCGGCTCGGATCCCTGAGCAGAAAGACGTCGAAGTCCAGCCTTGTCAGGCTGCTGGCGCGTTCGGCTCCTATCGCGCGTATGTCATTAACATAGGGCCATAGGGGCCTCAAGAACTAGAATAGGGTTTGGGGGCCCATTATGCTATAGCTACAAGAAGGAACCCCAAAAATAGTATTGCAGGTGGTGCCGTTGTTTTCAGCAGCAGCAGTGAGTACGACTTGCACCCGTGCAGCACACGCACAAGGCGCCGACCAGAAGACATCCACACCAAGCCAGAGGAACACCAGTGGCCTTAGCAAGCCGATGGTCTTGCAGCATGAACAGAAACCGCAACATGTGTTGGGACAGAAAGCATCGGGCCTTCTAGCTTACGCTGCAACAAACATCCCGTCGGGCGCACCACGCAAAGGCATGTGAAGTGGGGGTTGCAGACAAGCCTCCTAACACTGAGGAGAGATGTGGCCACCCCAGATTTACCTCGAACTGCTCGCGGTCATCGCCCTTCATGCCAGCACTATATCACTATATCATGGCTGGCTTCATGCCTTTTCGTCTTTCGCTGCACAGTCCTGTCAACCAAACGGCCTGTCAGTAAGATGCACTGCAGCTCTTGTCCTTGATGCTATTATTGGTACTTACGGGCCCCTGGTGTAAGTAGATAGCGCAGCCTGAAGCGACTATCACGGCAGAGAAGAAGGTCAGAATGTTCGCAGAGGAACGGACAAAAGCAGGCGAGATGACGACCAGAATAGGGCCTCTGAGGCAGGCGGCGATATTCTTCTGCACGGCATCCGAGTATTTGAGTATCCTGGAGACAGCCAGTCCTGCGAAGGCCTGCATGATCACCGTGAACATGGTGTGCCTTGTGAACCCTTCAAAGAAGCCATGCTTGTAAAGATCCAGGCCTCTCCCGGAAACCAGGATCAGAAGTGCGGTGAACACCACAGCTGCTGCGTACAGAATAGCATTCTGGACATTGATGTCCATGCCGTCCCGGCGCTTCAATGCGAACTCGTTCACCACCGAGCCCAGAGCATTGCAGGCAGTCATCAACAGCACCAGCAAGACGGGCCAGGAGAAGCGGCTCTGTAGCAAGTTCTCGAGCTGGTTCAGAGCCAGGCCGAAAACCAACACCGCGATGGCCAGGAGTCGAGTCGGCCCCAAGGGAACTCCGAAGACCATCCGCCAGAGGAAGGCTGTCCAAAGGATCATGGTGTCCCGGAAGACCCCGAAAGTAGAGATGTCATTCCTACCGATGGCCCACCACACCAAGATGTTGTTCAAGGTGAAAATTCCTGCCGGTAGAACAAGCCACGCCACGTCGTCTGCACTTGGAATCATCTCAGTTCTGGAATGGCTGCATTGGGCATATAGGATTAGGCAGAGGGAGATCACGAGCTTCAGAAGCTCTGTCAGCAGGACCGCACACATGGGCTCAAACTTGTAATCCTCGTGGGGCGCCTGGATGGACTGAACGGCCATGGACAGGTCGATGACTACTGAAATCAGCACATAAATCGCGCACACAATGTATGAGAAGAGGACCCGATCACGGATGTCCGGACACAGACACAAAGCTAGGCCTGCCCCAAGTAAGATGCACATGGCAGGCAGTTCTCCCCAAACGCCCCAGTCGAGGATGTGAAGGAAATTACGTTTCTCATCCGCGAAGGCTTGGAGGAGGAGAGTGGTGTTTCCTTTGATGACTGCTTCCACGGCCTCCACCATGCCGTCATCCTGGTAATGTACCTCATGACCACATACGAAGTCGGGTGCAGTCACCACCTGCAACGCGAGAGGCTTTACAACCCCGAGGTTGCAAGCGAAGTCCTGCATCTCAAGGCCTTTCAGGCTCCTCGTGACGGCCAGGGCAGTTGGCCCTGCGATCTCGTGGTGGACATTGTGCCGTGCAAAGATCTCCGCCAGAACGCCGTAGGTGTCAAGAGCTGGCCACGGCAAGTAAAACAGGTCGTCGTAGCCGGTCCAACAGCCCTGCGACAGCTCCGGCGGAAGTGACAACACCCCGGCCTGTCGGAGCTCGGCAAGGGCATCCCACAAGCGCTGGCGGTTTGACTCCCACAGGTGCCACGGACAGTGCAAATTCGGAAGGGACTCGAAGCCTACGGCGTTGATTCCGTTGCACCGGTCGAGGCCTTCGAAGGTGTCCCAGCGCAGCTGGGCCTTGGAGCCGAAAGTGCCAATCTTTCGGGCATCGAAGCGCCGGGCAAAGGAGCAGGGCGCCAAGACGGCGTCGAAGTGCATGTAGAGGATGCCTGTGGAACCGGTGCCGTCCCTCTCCAGCTGCTTTCCGACCTTCGTCACACAGAGGTAGGGGTCCCCTAACTTCTCGCAAAGATGCTCCTCCGCCCGCAACTGGCTAGTCGAGTTGGGCCAAGAAAGCAGCCAGCGAACTTCCCGAAAGAAGGGCTCATAGGAGAGGATCAGGGGCCGCCGCAGCTCGCAGACCTCTCGCGTCTGGCGGCAGTGGACGAGGAGAGTCACGGTCTTCAGTTCGGAAAGGTCCGCCCCGCAGAAAGCCCCAGCTTCACGACGAATCCAAAGCTGTGCCAGGCTGGCACTGCGGGCACTGCGAGCACTCTGCGTGCTCTCAGGGGCGCCTTCCAGCCCACACACTTCCTGAGTGGCGTCCGTGCTCTTCGCCAGAAGCGACGAGTCCGACGAGCACAGCCAGACAGCAAGTGCCAGGCAGAGCCGCCTCAGCCTGGCCATTCGATACGAAAGGGAAAAGTCTCAGTTTCGCGGATCTTCGAGCAAAGGGTTGCGGGAATCGGCTGCGAGCTGCTTTTTCAGGCCCTCCCCCCCTGTGCCGGCTACGCAGTATCCGCAACGAAAAGAGCCGGGCAGTGTAAACTTGTTGAGGATCGAGGGCGTGCCAGGTATGCACCTTCAACAGGCTTGGTAAGCTGCCCACAACATCTTCGCGGTTCCTGCGAGGAAAGCACCCTCCTGACTGTGAATGAAGGTAACGGCCTTACTTGGAAGCAAGACACTGTCACTTTCCCCGCCCCCCGGCCATCTGGCACCTCTCTGCTCGCCCAGGCAGCGAGCGACAGAGCTGCATAGCCTCCTCGTCCAGGCAGAACAGGACGAGATTCGAGATGCCTCGCCACAAACTACGCGAAGAGAATGGCCTAGCTTTCTTTTAAGACTGAAGCACACTTCGCCAAATATGGCAGATGAGTGCATGCTGAAGTCAAGGTTAACCTTCAACTCACACTCGACTTCGACACTGATGCATACTCCATCGCTGTTAAACCAGTGACTTGGGAAGGCTCGGTTGGGCAGCGAGCTCTCAGTTTCGAGCCGAGCGCTTCAGCTCGTGACACGAAGCGTGGGATATAGGGGACGTACCTGCCAGGAAAGGCTCTCACCATTGCGACGCACCCCTGTCGATAGAAACCGAAACACAGGTCGGACGACTGCCCCTGTACTCACGACTCGGACATGATGGGCGGACTGCTGACCGAAAACCATCGTCACGTACAGGAAGCGCCGAGCCTGACATTGGTGGCCAAGACTGCCCTGCACGGATCTGACCTTCTGTCTCTCAGCGAGATGATGCAGAAACGCTCCCATCGTCCGACGGTGCCTCCAACCCCACCGCGCCCTGCCAAAGGCACGAGAGATGAGAGAAGAGAGAGTGTGGCTCAAAGGCACTGGGATTCATTTCTGAAGTTTTATGAACACACTTACTACAACTGTTTCCAAGACTGTTGAGATCTAGTCTAAAGATCGATGCTCGATTCGGACTTCTGGTCTACCCTTTGACATTCCACAAACTCACATCGCTTGCCAACCAACTTTCGACGGTTTCAAAAAATACCTTCACACGAAAGGGTCCAATCCAACCCCGAGTGGCCTCCTTCGAAGTGGCCATGTATGTCTTCGGCAGATTTGCCTCCAAGCTTCTTGCAGTGGAAAACTGCCATTGTTCCTCGTCGTTGTTTTTGTACGAGCCCGATGGTGGTGTTTGTGGTGATAGCACCGGTTGTAAAGATTTTCTTGATTTTGACAGTTGACCCGGTGGGGTTGGCGCTCCTTATGACACTTACTCACTCAATGGCCGAGGATTCGCCGAGGTATCCGTCCTAATGAATGATGCGATGAACTTTGACCACGGGAATGTGTGGAAAAAGGACCGCCGACATAGACCCTGTATACCAGTTTCTTTGGATGTCGGCAGCCGTCACATGAATTGATTAGGAGAGAAGTGCTACGACAAATTGATTGATGGGATTGCCAGGAACAGGTATGAGACACACCCTGCTTGGTATCCATCCCGCACTGCCAGAAACGCAAAGCAATCGGGGCTGGCCAGGACGGACGAGACCGCGCCGGCAAATGAGGGTGACAACTTCACGCCTGCCAAATCAAGTCTGCTGGCAGGTGAACTGCGGAACCTATGACAGAAGCGGAACCTATGACAGAAGCGGAAGCGGTGAGCGATGTGTCAACTCGCCATCTCGGGGCCGGACCCTGGAACTCCTCCGGGGGCGACTCGCCGTCCAAGAGGAGTTCAAGAGACGGAAGGTGGCCTGGCAGTCACAAGGGGCCGACCATGATTTTGATAAGCCCTGCTAAGACGAACGGGATTACAGCGATCAGGATTGTCGACTCTGAAGCCTTCGGGGCCCTTGCCGGGACCTTCCCAACCTCAAACTACAAAGTTGCGGCTATAGAGTATAGAGCACACCAATATGTGGAAGGCAAAGAGCCTTGAAGCTCGGCCGGAGTGAAATCCAGGCGGAACTCGTGGCGCTTCAAGGCCGGTCGGACACGATCCAAGAAGCCGAACCTTTTTGCAACTGCGTGGGATCAATCGGACAGCTGCACAAGCCAGGCAGAAACTTATGAAAATCCGACCAGCTTGTCGGACCCAACACTAACACTCTGAAGCCGGCACATCTGTCCTGAGCACGGCGCAGGTGCCAGGCGTTCCCAACAACCTCGCGCCAGTCCCGCTCCTGGGTCCCGCTCTCTTCCTCTATGATTTTAGTTATTGTTGCCACGGCTTGGGTTTAGGGTTTAGGGCCTAGGATGCAGTTATTATCGTTGCTAGAGGAGATTATCGCAGTAAGAAACCAGTGTTGCCGGTGCTGCTCCCTAGCAGATCTGCACTGTCGGTTTTTCTTTTGCCGTTCTTCGGCTCTCTCCCTGCACTACAGTTGCCATCTTTACTTGAGTATGAAACTTCTTGCGTTTTGCTGTCGTTGTCATCCACATGGTAGCGATTATTGTCAACTGAACTGTTGTGGACAATGCTACCCGCCCTTGTTTCATGCTTTGTGGCTTCAGCACTCTGAAGTTTACTTCAGCTGCTTGATTAGGAACGAGGACGTCCAGCCCAAAGACAGCAGCCAGAAAAACAACACACCCTGAACTTCATCTGGGCTTGCGCAGCAGTCCGCCAACCTTAAGGCGAAATGCTAACAAGAAACTGTGCCACAGCGCGGCGGAAGGTCGAAGCAAAAAACATCTAACAGGACCGCAACAAGAAAGACTTGAGATTGGGGCTCGAAAAAGGTTGTCGATGAGCACCGCATATTGGTTGACGCACTCCGCCTGCCTCGGGCCAACGCTGATTTTACACAGCTGCTTCGAGCTTCAGGCCGAGGAAGCTGGGCTCTATCCTAAAGACCCTGGAGTCTCGTGTCGCTCCGCGGAGAGTAAGCAAGCAAAAGCTATTCCAAGATGATGGTACAGCAAGCGGTGCAAGAGTCTCATGCTTAGTCCGCCGCCATCACAACACTATGATAGACAACCTCAAGCCCTCAGCCTGAAACCTTCACCGAAAAACCTGCTGCAACCCTGAAAGCAGACATCCAAACCAAAAGAAACCAACAAGAAGCTCTCCAAGCCGAGAGAGCGGCGTCTCTGCACAGATGACAAGCTTGTACAGCGAGACCATGGCAAAGCCGTAGGCGCATTCCTGCGACCATTCGGAGGAGAGGGCTCAGGCTTTATCGAGTGTAAGAGTTTGGGGTTTTGAGGTTCAGGGGCCGGGTTCAGCTTCTGCTGAAATCTAGGGCTCTGAGTGATTCATGTGTCCTCCATGCTGGCCAGCCAATTTGCCTGGAAGCTGCGGCTGTACACCAAATACTTGGCCTCGTGGTACCTGCCAGTGCCAGACACATGAAACGTCAACGACTTACCCAGTAAACTCCCCCGATCGGGCTTGCCAGTCAGCTTCAGGTCGAAAGGCCAGCCGCAAACGTGGCCTCGCCCAACGCTCTGCTGGCTCGCAAAGACAATGGGAAAGGACTTTAACAGAGCCGGTGAACATGAAGGAACTACTCCTGTGATGTCCCAGGTGATCCACACCATGCTCGACACAGGACCACGAGCAGAAAGAGAGCTTCCGGTGCCGAGGAGGCGACCAGTCCATCACTGTCGCCTGTCCGGACAGGGAGCTGCCCTCAAGAACCCTCATGACCGCGGAGAAGAGGAGCGCTCAAAAGAAAACCTCCGAGCTCAGCGGCCTGAGAGCCCTCGCAGCTCAGATCCGGATCGTCGTGATACTCGGGGATCCTGGCACTGGCACGACAAGCCCACGGCCGAAGCCCGCGTAGAACTCTCCATCGACGGACAAGTTGACATGACAGGTTTCACTGGAAAGGCTATGCCTCAAAAAAACCTGAGGCAAAGCAGAATCTGAGCCGGGCTATGTTGCAAGTGGCATCACGGTTGCGGGTTTAGTCATGCAAAGTCTAAGTGGCACCCATCTGGCACTGCCGAGTGAACTTTGCAGGCTCTCTTGTAATCTAAGTTCTTTGCTGAAACACATAGATGCTTTATTAGAAGCCTCAAATCCTCAAGCCCTAAGCCCCAAGCCCGAAACGCCTGCAAACCCTTGCAACCCTTATCGTGTTGAAACCTGAACCCCAATGCTGGCCTCAGGGCATCTAAGGCTGCCAGGACGGGCCATCGAGTCCCCAGGAGCAGCTCCACTGAGAAGAACACCGAATGGAAAGTGCCCTGAATGACCTCAGGGCTTCGGCTTCGGGATTCACGGGTTTTTCGCAATTGTTTTTGAAAGCTCTTTCCAAGGCGTTCTACGGAAAGCCTACTGGAGCCAGCTGTCACCTCGGATCCGCATGCCCAGTCACCGCGTCATGGCATCGTGTCTTGAAATCTAGCTTAGCCCCGGGAAATCCAAGATTGTTTTGGGTTCGACTCAACTACATATGAGCTGGTGCTAGAGTCTGCTAGAGAAAGACAGGGTATGTAAGCTGGGTTCAGCTGAGAATTCATGTTAACGTCTGCAAGTCTTGCTTTGTGCAGAACTCACCGCCTGTCTCCTGATGTCTATCTCCCGAGAGAGTCTGCTGAAAACGGTGTCAGTTAGCTAAAACCTTGTCCGTTTCGAACAATCATACCAGTCACCCCATTCGAGGACATTTTCTATACTCCCCCCTACATCTCAACCAACACATCACTGTCACTTCAGGTCCTTCTGTCGTTGCTCTGATTTCGACTGTCTTACGCTGATGCAGGCATGTCCTGAGCGAGGTGTCTGCTGGGGGCTGGACATCAGAAAGCAGCTCCAGTTCCGACGTCGGACACTGCGAGCTGTCCTTCAAGCATTCTGAGCTTTCTTCCGACTAAACTCGCAGAAATCAGGCGACAACAAATCATCGGCATGCGGCATGCGCTTCGGACTGAACAAGCGGTGACAACATGGACTTGCTGTCCCCATCCTCGGTTTGTAC